CAGCCAGGAGGAACAAAGTCTGCAAGGCAAAGAGAAACATGTCTTCAGAGTAAAGATATGTAATGAGGGCTCACAAAAAAGATCTTATGTGGCCAATTTACTAGTTTTTAAAAAACATATACGGCTAGAGAAACAAGTACAGATGGGTGGCAAAATGGGGAAAAACAAGGTCATATCCCTCACCCGATATTAAGAAATATAAAGGACTGAATTAGAGTTGGGCCTGAGTCCGGGCCTCTGGTCTCAAAACTCGGGCCTCCAGACAAATCCAACCCGTAGCCGAGAAGCTAGTTGGAGGCCCCACCCGTACCCGGGGGAATCTTGCCCCGCGATCACTAAATACTGTGCTCAGTCCATTTTCCGCACCCTAGAGTTAACTATGTGAACTGCCTTGAGCGATCCATTTAAAATGGTTTAAGACACCAGCGTACAGGCGGATTGTTACTTTAGCCCTTTCCTTGAAAACTTGGGGGCCCTAAAAAGGGCCTTTTTAATAAACAAACAGGATCAAACTTTTTTCTTTTAGCCGCCGAAGCCGTAGAGGGTGCGTCCTTGGCGCTTGAGCGCGTACACTACGTCCATGGCCGTGACCGTCTTGCGCTTGGCGTGCTCGGTGTAGGTGACGGCGTCCCGGATCACGTTCTCCAAGAACACCTTCAGCACCCCACGGGTCTCCTCGTAGATGAGACCAGAGATGCGCTTGACACCTCCACGCCGGGCCAGGCGGCGGATGGCGGGCTTGGTGATGCCCTGGATATTATCGCGCAGAACTTTGCGGTGGCGCTTGGCGCCCCCTTTCCCCAAACCTTTGCCCCCCTTACCACGTCCGGACATTCTCAGGTAACGTGCAGAAGACTGCATTCAACTTGTCGCAGCTCCTTTTAAAAAGTAACCTCTGCGGACCAGAGTGGAAACCAAAAGAGCTGTGGCGGGAATCCCTCTGGGCTGGGGGAGGGGACCTAAAGACCTAAAGGAACAAGCCGGCCTTACTACTCCCGTTTGTTCTCTTTCAGTTAATTCTTTTGATTCCTCAAGACCTAGGCTATTTTTCTCCCCTTTTCTCATTTAATTTGTTTCGCTCCTCATCCTCGTTAAGCAACAAAACTTTAACATTGTAGATGATACATAAAATAACACAGAGAATAAAATATTCTGCTTTTATCTCTACCTATATACATGTGTCTTTCTCTACCAGTATTTGCATACGGTTAATACCATTTTGTGAAGTTTTTCTCCTAATATATGGGGGAAATATACTACCTAGAAATAGAGCAAGATGGGCTAATAAAATAGAGAATTTCAAGATCTTCCAGGTATATTGCTAAATTCTCTTCCACCAAATGTGTGTCAATTTCCATTTTTAATATAAGTTCCTATTATTATTTTACTGATAATGGGTAGAATCATTGAAAAAAATTAACTCTATAATAATCCAGACTTGGTTTCTTTTTTTTTTTTTTTTTCTTTTGCCATTTCCAACCCTTTATTGGGGCTCTGTCAGCCCCCAGACTTGGTTTCTTGTATAGAGAATTAACTTTTAAAAAATTAACCAGCTGGCTCATCAGTATAACATAGGAAATATTTTCTCCACTGATTTGAGGAACTTAATTGATCGTTTATTCAATATGTCATTTAAAATTATTTCTTGAGTTTTTATTCTGCTGATCAGTCTATGTATAGTGCTCTAGCATTTTAATTTTTTGTAATGTTGAAAAATAAGTATTTGCCATTGAATTCATACCTCATAATTATTTATTTCAAATTAATTTCTACTATTATAGAAAAATCATTTTATCTAGCTGCAACAAAGTAGTTCTTTTAGTACTCTTAACTGTATTAAATCTATACAATTTATTAGGGTAAATTTGTTATTTTTGACGTACTGTGTCCTCCTAACCTGCAAAATACTGAATCTGGGTCTTTAAATGTCTCAGTAGATTTTTTTTCTAGGTAACATATAATTAAAAAAATTTTTTAAAAATTTCATTAATTAGAAGAGCAGTTAATTTGTCATTCGTGAACAAGTAGAAAATTCAAATGCAGAGAAAAGAAAGTCTACCTTTGTCTTTCTAAGAAAGCCTTTATTAAAAGAATGATTATATATTTCAAACATTCTTGGTTGTATATACTTAATTTTAAAAATATATACTATTTTACTATTGCTTAAATTCTGAGAAATTTTAATCCCTTCTTTCAGCATTAGCATATAATCCCATTGTTATTCAATGATTTTCTTTCACTTTCCTTTATTTCAATGAGAGTTACTTTTAGCAAGGTTGCAATACAGTATTTTCAAAGTACTCTTATAAACTATAAATTTCATAACATAAATAAAAACCTTTGCAAAAACAAAACGGATTCAACCAACAGGAACAAAATTCAGTATATATTACAGAGATGGGTATATATCCAGCATAATTCAACAAGTTAATTTAAGGGCAAATAAAAGTTGAAAATAAGAGGCTTAATTCTCCCCGAGGGTCCCTTTCCTTTCCTTTTTCTCTTTCAAAATTTCTTTCTCTGTCCTTTCCAAATGTACGTAAAATGGCTTAAAAAGCCCTTTGCCAGCCTCTTAACTCAGGAAAGTTTCCTCAAGGAGCTTAGAGTCCTCTCTTTAATCATCAAGGAAAATAGTATTCTATTTCCCAGTTTCCTGACTCCAGATTGCAAAACCTACCTCATGTAATGGGTAGTATCTACTTACTCACCGAAAGAGTGAGATTTTTTTCTCTATCTTTGCAATCTCTTTAAAAGATTGCCTGTGTAGAGCATAATATTTTGAATAAGCATTAAGCTTATTCAATAATAAACTTTCTCTTCTTTTGTTTTACATTATATTTCCCCAACATTAGTTAACTGGAATATATTTTACAGACCCTTCTCCACTTTTTTAAAAAAATATTTATTTATTTATTTATTTGGCTGAGCCAGGTCTTATGCGGACCTTCGTTGCAGCCTGCGGGGTCTTTAGCTGCGGCATGCAGGGATGGAACCCAGGCCCTTTGCATTGTGAGCGTGGAGTCTTAACCACTGGACCAACAGGGGAGGCCCCCCTTCTCTACTTTAAAAATGAGTAAAATTGCCACCAACTACTAGCCTCCCTTCCTATCTGATTTCATGAGTTTTTGCATAACAACTAGTGATTATAAGAGTAGCAATGGATGGATATCTGAAAAGTTTGTCAGATTCTTTATAATTTCTGCAATTGATAAACAAAGGTTTATTGTTCTATAAACATACAATATATTATTTTATAAAATTACAATGCTCTTCGGGCCGTTTTCTAACATAGTAACTGACTTAATATGTCGAGATGAACAGTTCAAATCAGATATTTTCTTTGTGTCTTTATGTTCTTTCACTGTTGAAGGGCAGCTGAATATGCCACCCCAAAGTATGCCTCTTTGTCATAAGGGTTATTTTGAACTAATTATTTTTGAGAAACAGCATAGACAGGTGAATCTCTGAAAACAGAAGTTACCTTTTTGTAAGAGACACATATTTATAGAGGAAAGCTACATTTCTGTCTCTCTATACTATGAAGAGAAGGATGATTGGAAATCATGAAAAGGATCTTATGGGAGAAGGCACCCACTTTAACCTGCATAACAAACCCTTGTTTATTATGCTTTTTTCTGATAATGTGTCCCCCCTCCACTACACAACTTTCTTTTGTCTTTAGCTAAAGATGGTGTGTAAGGTGGTGGCTTGGGCCATCTTGAGGAGTTTACTAATTTTTCCTGTCTCTCCTGTATACATGAGGTTTACATGTTAATAAAATTTTGGTGGTTTTTCTCTTTTTAACTTGTCTTTTATTTTAGGTAGTCTCAGCCAAGAATTCAAAGGGAAATTTTTTTTTCCTCTCCTACACAGTACAAATCAAATCCAGCAGCAAACTTTATTGGTTACACTTGTGAAATATATCCTATACCTAACCATTTTCTGTTACCCCAATTTAAGCCAAACCACCATTATCTCTCAAAAAGACCACTGGAATAGCTTCCTAATTTATATCATTACTTCTAAACTTTGTATTCACCATACAGTTGCCTTAGTGAACTTTCAAAGAAATGTAAATCAGGTTATGCCATTCCTCTGTTCAAAACTCTTAGAATGATTTGCAAAAACTTATAGCATGGCATATAAAACCCTACATGATCATAAAGCCCTACATGATCTGACCTCTGCCTATCTCTGTGAACTCACTTTCTACCCTTGCTTTCTCTGCTCTTGATCTTCCTTAAATATTCTTGATCTTAAACTTGATCTTTAACTTTCTATCTCAAAATGTCCAAATAGATGGGCAAATGCCCATATAGTTTGGGCAGAATAGATGCCCAAACTGACTGTAATGGATATACAAATGTCTACAAATATAAGAAAAAATATGTTCAATTACATTATTAACCCACAACATTGGACTTAAATTTTAAAAAAAAAACCCTTAAAAGAATTGTAATGGGAGAGTTTTAAATTGCTTTAAAACTTTTGTTTAGAAATATTCTCTGCGTATCATTTAAAGTATAATGCATGAGTTCAGATTTTTTATATTAATACAGACAACAGTATACATCAACAAAATATTAGTATTTGGTGTTGAAGGGGAGCAGACTAGGCCACCCCAAAATACACCATTTAGCATAAGGATTATTTCGCTGAACTGAGGCATTTGAGATGAAGCAGATCCAAGAAAATCTTGCTTTCCTTCTGTTTCCCTAAAAGCAGGACACAGATTTACAGAGATGTCCCTCCTCCTCTCTTTCCCAGGAAGAACAAAGGTTAATCCTAGTAAACAACTTTAGACCCTCATCAATGGAGAAGGCATCAATTTAAATATGCCTAACAAAGTTTACCCTTGGTCCCTGGTAACCTCCCCGTACCTGACCTCCTTACATCTCCATCTTTAGCGGAAGATGGTATTTAAGCTGGAGTTCTTTTTATTTGTTTTGTTTTGTTTTTTGGCCGCACCTCACAGCTTGCGGGATCTTAATTCTCTGACCAGGGGTTGAACTCAAGACCTTTGCAGTGAAATCCACCAGGGAATTCCCTGGAATTCTAAGGCACCTCTAGAGGTACTAATTTTTCCCTGGGTTTCTCCCATGTATAGATGAGGTATAGTTGTTAAGAAACTTGTTTTTCTCTTTCGAATCTGGCTTTTATTACAGGGCTTGTTACCCGAAAACTGGGTTCGCCTCTTGGTGGGTGTCGCACCAAAAGACACAACCAAGCCAAAGATCAGAAGGAAGAAAGAATTTATTACTACTTGCAGCAAGTAAGGAGAACACCGGGGATCTTCCCAAAGCAGTGTCTCCCTGAACAGCAAAACTGGGGAAGTTTTAAGCTAAGGGTATATGCATATTCATGAAGGGGCTCGAGCAGAGAATTCAGCACAGAAATGGGGCAAAGGTTGACAGAGTCCAAGCTTTAGTTGATCTGAAGTCACTAAGGGGCAAAATTATCATTCCATTCTCCACCTAGGTGGGGGCCTTAGTTCCTGCAGAACTCAAAGACTGTATCAGATTTTTATCTATATCCCTTGAGGAGGAACTAGGGCTTTTATTGTTGAACTATTGTTTCTTGACTGCTTTTCCTTTGTTCCTGCACTCCCTTACTTTCCTTAAGATCATTGATTACTGAGACACGTTCAAGGGCAAGCATTGCGGCCACGCTTAGATCACAAAATGGCTTAGGCCAAAATGGCTTCTCTTATGTAAATAAAGCCATTCCTGGGAATTCCCCGGTGGTCCAGTGGTTAGGATTCCACGCTTTCACTGCCAAGAGCAGTGAAATCCCTGGTCAGGTGCAGGGACCCCCTAACCTATCTGCCAGGCTCTCAG